CTCCCAAATCTCTAGATGTTCACCAACCTTGGAAGCTCAAATCGTCACTTCTGAACCTTGCAGTTCTCAGCACTGGCCTCCCCTGAGAACTGCTCTTTTTCTGGCCCCTTTGGTGCCCCTGCTTCTTCCTCTCATCTCTGAATGTCGATGGCCCCCCAAATCTGTCCACAGCTCTTCCCTGCTCATCTTCCACTCACTGCTTGTCTTCTCTGTGCGGACAGCTCCCAGACCTAGGACCCAGACCTGGTGTCTCCCTTTAGCATCCATCTCGTATTTTCAACTGCCTTCTGGATGTTTTCTGAGATTTTCTGCTAATAGTATGCAATAAGTCTGAAAACAAGTTCTATTTTTTCCCTCCAAGCTGGCTCTGCCTTCCGATTTTCCAGTTTTTATAAAAAACAATCAGATCGACCAAGAACACATCCTGCTTTTCTCCTTTTCTTTCGCTTTCATTGTTTTCCCCTCCAGTTCCGACCCTAGTTATTTCTCAGCGGGAACCTCTGCATAGCCTCCTCATTGGTCCCCTGTGTCGTCCTCATCCATTATGCTGATGCACCATTGTTCTCTGTGCATCACTGTGATGCTGCCAGACCCTCTGCAGAACTGTCGGTGGCTTCCTGGTTCCCATCAAAAAGGTTAGCCTGGCATCTAGGAAATCCCCATTTCAGGCCCTAGTCTGTTCCTCCTTATACTCAAGTCAAACCTGACCAGCCTCTCACCACCCCCAAACGTATCCCAATGGACCTGCCCTGACAACGCCGTTAAACCAGATGACCCCAGCTGCACAGCAGCCAGTGACACCTCACAACAAGGTGTCCTGCCTGGGAGTCTCAGCCTCATTCACGGCAACGGAGCTGGATCTTCGTGCTCTCCCAGGTTTTCGTTTGTGTTTTTCCTCTGCGAGTCCTGCTCTATTCTGGCATCGCCCCAGCATCTGGCCTTTCTCCCCCACTTCCAGCTCTCCACTTGCCCCTGAGCCTAGGTGATGCCCAGAGGCTGTCAGGCAGCACTGTGAACCCTTCTCCATTTGCCTGGGGGCCCTAGTGACCCTGGGCAGCTCACCATCCGAGCACTCTCACCCGCAGAAACCCACCCAGCCAGGGGGCTGACTTCCCTGGGTTGGGTTCCTAGAAGGTGATGGAGGCCAAAATTCCCTGCCTCAGCACCTGCTTCAGCAATTCTCTCAACCAGAAATGGACGAGCCCCCTCAGCCCTTGCCATGTCTGCTTGTTGAATTCCAAACTGTCCTTCGAGGCACTGCAAACGGCCCTGGCCCTTCCCTGCCCTAGACGGTCCCTTCCTTCTCTGACTGCTCTCCAGTGCGTCTGGCATCATCACATTCTCCCTCTGGTTAGTCAGTGGTATATCTGTCTTGTCTTTCTTGCTGTGAACTCCTTGGGGGCAGACATCTCACTTGTGTTTAATCTCCTACCACCTACCAAAGCGCCCGGCCCATCATAGGTCCCCAGTAAACATCTGTTAACAGGAGTGAATAAATGCTTTACTGCAGCTTTCCCCAAACACGGTTCCTTGGAAGACAAGTGGCCCCATAACATATGCATTGGCATTCTGTGACCAACTGAGTTTGGCACATGAATTTCCTCATGGAGAACTAAACGCACGCAAACCCACAGGGCTCGGGGAAGCCCCGCAACAAAGAAGCTTGTTTAATGATGATTCGCTTGGCAGATGAGCAAATATATTTGACCATGGGACTTTTTTTTTTTTAATGAGCTTCGTTTAGAACTCAGTTAAGGAAATAACACTTTACATCCTCTCAAAACCTTAAAATACCTGGGCAGAAGGTAAATTTCACAGAGTCACCTGTCCGACTCCTTGCAGTGGGCGAGTCAGGCTGCCCAGCCTCTCCTTAAGAGAGGTCTTTGCTCTGTGACACAGTCAACGTGTGATTTCTAATTTTCTTTCTTTTTTTGCTACCTAGTGGCTGAGGATGCGCTTCCCATGCTGTTCACCTTTATGGGAACAGACACGAGAGGGGTGAGATGTGCAAGGTGGGGGGCGGGGAGGAAGGGCAGCGGGGTATCATGGAGAGGACTCACCCCCGTGGCTTTCTGCTTAGTGTAGGCGTACTTGTCCCGAGTCAGTCTTTCAAAACGGTAGGTGGGCGCGAATGTGATTTCTTCTTCCTCTGAAATCAAACAAAACCCAGGTTTCAGCTTTCACTCCCCACGTCCCACATCTGGCTGAGTTTCCTTCTTCCCCAGGCGTGCTCCTTCCCCCGCCCAGGGTATTCTGGGAAAATGCGAGACAACGCTGGCTGGAGAGGCCCCGAAGGCAAGGCTGGCAGTTCTTACCAAAGTGCAGGAAAACCTTCTGGTCCTTCCGCTCCATAAGCAGCTGGTCGTGGGACAGGAGGTCCGCGTACTGCTGCTGCTTGATCTTCTGGATAATGGTTTCGGCCTCCTGCAGCAAGGACATGGCTACTGGTCAGCCGCCCCTCTTTGCCAACATAAGGAGGCACCTTACCACCCGCTGCCTGGCTCTTAGGCCCCGGAGCCCCTGGTGCCACTCCAGACCCCGGTCCCCTGGCGGCTGCTGGGTGGGTGCTTCTTAACGCAACCATTTTATAGGAAAAACTCAGCAAGAGCAATTATTAGAAAATTAGAAACGTCAACCCAATAACGTAAGTCTCTGGCTGTCCCAAACATTTTATTTTTTCATTGTCTTTTAATATCGTTTCATTAACACTTCATTAGGTAGGTGTGTGTCCTGCCCTTGCTCGCTCTCTCTGCAGGAATGAGACAGCCTGTTCTAAGGCCACGAAAGAATGTGAGACCTCAGGTCCCAAGTCCTTGGGCATCGGGCCTCTGCGATCCGGGCAGAGCCCTCGAGAGTTGGTGTGACACTGACTGGCCGCGCTGGCTTTGTCTCACGTCTCTCGTGTTACCTCTGCCGTGGTGAGAGAACCACTCTGACAGCCGCTTAGACTGAGAAGGGTCCCTGTTCACCCCTCTCCCTTCTGCCTGCTCAGCAGGAGAGAGAAGGAGCGTTGGCCCGAGGAGCTTCTCGGGATGGGGGGTGTGGTCGGGGAAGCAAAATGGGCAAAAATGGGCACAAATGGGCCACGCTCCTCAGTCCGTGCCGGCCGGCTGGGTGAGGCCAAGGCAGCCGAGGGATGCAGGATGTTGGGAAAACGTCCGGGAAGGGGAGTCAGAAGGTCTCGGCTCCTTCCCAGCTCTGTCAGCGACCTGTAACTGATCTGTCTGCTCCTCGGGATTCCCTCTCCTCCATAAAAGTGGGTCCGTTTCTGGCATCCTCCCTCTCCCTCCCAGGACGGCAATGCAAAAGCATTCAACACCCCTGGTAGCATTGGGCTGGTAGCAAAGAGTCTCAGGCAGACGGGCTCTGCTCTGCTCCAGGCCCGGCCCCGGCCATGTCTTCCAGGATCACCCAAAACAACCATGTCTGGTTCCGGACGTGTCCAGCGGCCATGCCTGTCCACTCTCCCTTTCCCGTGTCTGTGCCACAAAAGCCCCTGGCTGCTGTTCACTAGATCTCAGGTGGACGTCCCGCTTAAAGAAAGTCATCCGTGGGCTGGCCTGTGGCCCGTGATTTGGGGAATAAAACTGATCTGGTCTTCTCGGACTTCAGCCTTTCCTGGAATCTGGGGCTAGCAGGCTGAGGGGACCAGATCCCAGGGAAGGCTGAAGCATCTGAGTGGCGGTGATGAGGGGGTGTGGCTGGGACAGTCAGGTGGGAACTGGACGGGAGGGGAGCTGAACCCTCATGACGGGAACAGTGTTGAGTCCTAGGGGGAGTGGCTGCCTTGGCCTGGCTCAGCCTGTGTGTCTGGTGATTCTGACCTGAGCTAATTCGAGGGGGCCTCTGTCCCTTGCAGCCCAGCCCCAGGTGGGCAGCCCCTCACCCAGGTGGGCGGCCCCAGCCCCAGGTGGGCAGCTCCTTACCCAGGTGGGCAGCTCCACGCGGTAGTTGAGATCCCCGAGCCAGAAGAGGTGAGTGAAGCGGTGAGTGATGTTAAAGGGACTTAGTTTCTTGTCTCCCAGAGCCAGAAACCGGAGAATGTTCATATAGTTTTGGTTTCGCCTAATTAAATGACCAAGCAGCCATCTTAGCACAGGGTTCCCGTTTCCGCCATGGCAGGAAGTTGGGGTGGGTGGGGGGGTAACACGGCGGGGGGGGGGTCAAGGCATCGAATCTCCCCCCGCGCAGCGAACACCTTACGTGTGGCTGGGGCATGCCTGGGGCAAAGGGCCTTTCAGGCTGAACTGGGAACACAGGGCAGGGGCCCTGAGAGCATCTGCTCTGCAGAAAATCAGAATCCTAACTATTCTAGACGGCCGTCTTCACAACTGGGCCGCCAATAGGCAAATGGGCTTTGACAGGGAAGGGTGGCCAGGTGCGGTTTTGCCCTTTAGAAAGGAGTGGTACTTAGGCGTCTATTAGGGTGACGACACAGGGAAATGTCTGTTCTGTCCTTCAGAAAGGTCTCTCCCCCCGGGAGGTCACTACTGTGCTGCCATTGCCTGTGACGAGACCATGGGAAAAGTGCTCAGAGGCCAACAGGACAGGGCCCCAGCAGAGGGCTGAGCGGTCGCTGCGGTGTTTAGTGAGGGGTGTGAGGTGTGCCTGGGCAAGTAATCCCAACACAGGCTCTGGGGGAACGAGCACCATTACCTGAGTTTCTTTTCGCTTCCAGAAGTCAAGTGGCTGTTGACAAACCCCAGGGAGGTTCCGTTGAACATAAATGACACCCCTACGGCTCCCTTGTTCCCTAAATGGAGGGGAGAAGAAGGAAGTCAGAGTATCAAGTGGGCAAACTCGTCAGGTGGCAGGAAATCAAGGGGACGCAGTGCAGTTGATAGATGGGAGAAGCGGAGGCCTAGGAAGAAGGCAAAGCAGCTTCATTTGCGGAGGGAGACGGGACAGGGGACAGGCACTAGGAGGCGAGATTCCTTCAGGACAACAAGAGAACGGGGTGAATGACCAGCAGCCTTGGGTGGGGTTCTCTGCGGGGCCGAGGGAGAGAGGAGGCTGCCTGGGAACCCATGCTGGCATTTGCCCACAAGGAGCCATTGGTCACCCACATGCCAAGCAGGCGGGACAGTGAAAAGCAGCCAGGACTCGGCGGGCTGACCTTCTACTCAGCTAACTCCAGGGTCCTGGTGAGACCCAACCCTGTACCGAGACCACCTCGTTTTCTGTCCATTTTACGCTATTCTAGTGGTTCTCAAAGTGTGTTCCTTGGACCAGCGGCATCAGCGTCACTGGGGCACTTATGGGATGTGCACGTCCTCAGGCCCCATGCCGGGCCTGCCGAATCAGAAATTCTGGGGGCGAGGCCCAGTAATCTGCATTTAATGAGTCCTCTAGGTCAGGGGTGGGCATATGCTGGGCCTACCGCCCGCTAAAAGTGGTTTTTACCTTTCTAAATTGTTGGGAAAAAGTCAAAAGAATATTCTGTGACACATGAAAATGATATGAAATTGAAGTATAGAATCCATAAAGAACATTTTACTGGAACACAGCTACACCCATGGATAGAGCCTGCATGGCCTGCAAAGCAAAACGATATTCACTATCTGCCTTTTTAGAGAAAAGTTTGCCAACCTCTGCTCGAGGTGATTCTGACACAGGCTGAAGTCTGAGAATCTGCTTGGTCCAATACAGTAGCTACGAGCCTACATATCAAGCCCTTGAAATGTGGCCAGTCCAAACTGAGATGGGCTGTAAGTGTAAAAAACACATCGGCATCACAAGCCTCAGTAAGAAAAACAGAATGTAAATTATCTAATAGTTTTTTTTATTGAAATGGTGACTTCGATAAATACCGATTGAAATGGTAATATTTCGAATGTATGGCGTTTGACAAATGTATTATTAAAAATGACTTCACCTTTTCCTTTTCCTTTCTTCAGTGTGGCTATTAGAAAACTTAAAATGACCCATTTGGCTCCTGTTCTGTCTGGGCAGAACATGAATGAAAGGACCTTGGGGACTATCCAGCCCTGCTTCCTTGGGAGGGGCCAGTCGGGGGGCGGACAGGCAACCCAAACAGAGATGGGACACGGGCTAGAAGGAGGTTCCTGGGTAGCAGAAGGGTGTGGCCTTCAGAACAGGGCAGCCACTGAGACAGGAAGGAAGGAGGGACAAGTGGGTGTGGACGCAGGCAGTGTGCAGTCTGTCAGCAGAAATGCTGACGGCGCTTTCACGCTCGATGGCAGCAATTCTTCTATTTCCTGTTATCTCTGGGACTATCCTGTCCCCAACTCCAACCACCAGGAACTGCTGGCCTCGCCCTCAACTCTGCCCCCAGCCCACGTGGGTGCACCTGCCACATGCACTCACAAATTCACGTATACGGACTCCCACACACTCGCACACCCGCACAGACTGGCGCTCATGACAGGCACCCACACCCACACTCTCATACATTCCCACGCGCAGACTCGCACTCATCTGGTCCTCCACTCTTATTTCAATTCTCTGCAGCACCCTCGTTGGTCCCACCGGCTCGCAGGTGATACCGGCACTTCCCCATCCCACCTGCATCGGTCTCAGTCTAGATCAGGGGCTGGCAACATATGCCTGTGGCCAAATCGAGCCCACAGACTGTGCTATAAAATTTTATAGCAGTGGTCCCCAACCTTTTTGGCACCAGGGACCGGTGCTCCTATGAGAATCTAATGCCTGAGGATCTGAGGTGGAGCTGAGGCGGTGATGCTGGCGCTGGGGAGCGGCTGCAGGTACAGATGAAGCTTCGCTCGCTGGCCCGCTGCTCACCTTCTGCCACGCGACCTGGTTCCTAATAGGCCACGGACCAGTACTGCTCCGCAGCCCAGGGGTTTGGGATCCCTCTTTTACAGAACAGCCCTTCCCATTCATTTCAGGCCTCTGTGCTTGCTTTTCTGTGACAGCTGCGAGGAGGAAGAGTGACATCTGGCCTGCAAAGCCTCTAGTATTTATTCCCTGGCCCTTCACAGCAAGTCTATTAAGCCCCGTCCTAGGTCCCTGACACTCAAGGCGGGGCCTGTGGGCCACTCGATGGGCAGTCGTTGGAAACACAGACTGTCAGGCTCCACCTGAGACCTGCTGAGTTGGAACCTGCATCTCCGCCAGGACCCAGAAGCAGTGGTGTTGACACCGGTGAGTTTCGGTGGGGGGACCAGCCGCCCCAGTTTGCCCAGGACCAAGGGGATCCCAGGACACGAGACCAGGTTTTAATCCGGGGAAGTCCCAGCTGGCCAGGGCAGGATGGACGCGCGTCAGCAGGAGCGCACCAGGGAGAACACGGCCCCTCCCCACTCACCCAGCGTGTTGGCGATGCCCGTCTTCACGTTGTCGGTACAGATGTGGCTTATCCGGTTCTCGTGCTCCGGCTTGGCCAGCACCACGATGCGAATGTTCCAGAGGGTGTGGATGGTGATCTGGTGGGGAGGACACTTGTGACCATTGGTCAGGGCGTAGTGCCTGACCCCAGAACACCCGGAGATTCACACTCAGCCCTCACCTCCATGCTGTGGGGTTCCCTGTCTATAATCCCTACACTTTAGGGGACACCTAAGGACATCCCACAGACGAGACAAAGAATCTCGGAGATGGGAGCTGGGGCTGATGAGATGTTGATGAAGGAAGGAGGATATACAGGCACAGGCGGGGTCGCGGGAGGACCCCCGTGATTTTCAGCAACGCCTACGGACCCCATCGGTTTCTGAACGCAGGTGCCCCTCTCTGGCTCTGGAAGGGGGCGGGGGCGGGAGAGGGACCACTGAGCACTCAGGCGTCTTTGGAAGCTGAGAGCCAATAGGCCGAGCTGCCCTTGCCTCTGAGATGCTCCTGGCTGGCCTTGCAAAGCCCACTGCCCCAGAGTCCCACCCAGGGCCGTGACAGCTGCTCACTGTTTTAAAAGTCATGCTGGTGATTTCCTGCAGGGAGTTTTTGAGTATCTCCAGCCACTCCTTCTCTCCCAGGGGGTCCTCCTGGGTGCCGATCACGTAGATATCGTGGGGGATGTAATCAGCAGAGTCGTCCCGTGTCTTTCCCTGCCCCTTGGAGAGAAACCAGGACGTGATCTTCTTGGGAGGGGGGGCGTTACCTTCAACAGCAAAACCCAACACCAAGTGAGTCATAGGCACATAGGAAGAATTCAAGACAGGTGGGGGGAGCGCTGGGGAGCGGGGGTGGGGGCAGACACACAGTCACGAAAACCATTCCCGCCGCCCAACAAAATGTCCCAGACAGAGAGCTAGGTACAGTTATCCCTGAGGGTGTCAGGTAGGGTCAGAGGCCACTTCAGTTTCTTTTTAAAGATAATGTTAAGTTTCCAAGGCTAGAAAGACTAGACGAGTCCCTGGGGTGTCCTGAACTAGTTGCACAGATGTCAAACACTGGCTAGTCTTTGGGGCGACATCGGTACCCGGGACACACTTCTCGAGGGCCTGACATTCCGTTGGCAGGATAGCTCAGTAGGCCGCCAGGTGTGGGATGGGGCTTGCAGCCCACGGTGGGGGGACAACAATGGCTTCCTCACAAAAGAGACCTCGGCCTAGATCTGAGCGATGTGTGGGTGTTAGAAAGAGAAACGGGAGGAGCGTGGACACCCCCTCGACCCCCATCCCGAAAACTGAGTTGAAGCAGCTCAGTAAAGAAATGATGAGAGTTATTTCTCCTCTCAACGCCCATGACGGTCGAGTCAACTTTTTCCCCCGAAGACATAACCTTGTTGGCTCTCAAATGCCCAAAACCCAAGAACTAATTTGATGGCCGCTGGGGTCTGCTCTTCCCCAGGGCTCACGGTAGGAGCGCAAACGCTGGGGACTGGTGGTCTCTGCCTGGGGCCACCCACCCATCTTGCCCTGGTGCAGCCAGCTCTTTCCATTGTCTCCTGTGTGAAGGGCGCCCCCCCGCAGTTGTGCGGCGGGACAGCTGCCCCAGGCCCAGCCAAATCTAGACTGCCACGCTCAGAGGAGAAAGCGGGAAGGAGCCATGTGCCCGCGTGCATGAACCCGAGTGTGAGCGGTGACGCGATCAGGTGGCCAATAAGAAGCGCTGGAGAGGACAGATGGGCACGCAGGACACTGGGGCCTGCGCCTGAGCACTACGGCAGTGCTGCCGTGGCCCCGTGAAGGCCTGGGCAGGGCTGGCAGCTTGTAAATCAGGGTCAGGAGCTCAGGCCATCATCTACTCAGCCGACAGGCCAGGAGCTGCACACTGTTTTCATTTACTCCTGTCCCTCAGTGAGTGGCTGCTACTTGTCCCCTTCCTCCTGGATGCTTCTGAGTGACTATGCCGTGCCCAGTTGCTGTACTTCAAGAGGGACCAAGTGGGGTAGACAGATGCCCAGTTAAAGTTGAATTTCAGATAAACAACGAGTAAGTTTTAGAATAAGTGTGTCCCATGCAATACCTATTTATCTGAAATTCAAATTCAACTGGATGGCCTGTATCTACTTACTTTCTCATTGCTAGCTGAATACTTATACTAAACACTTAGCATAATTATATTTAGTATGTAAATATATAGTAGTACATAAGTATATAGTACACATATTTAGTACAATGTATATTTGGCATATATTTAGTACTTATTTCTAGCTAAATAGTTACACTAAATATTTAGTACTGTTTACATTTGGTATATTATATTTATATATTTAGTATATAATACACATTAGTATGTAAATATGTGTAATATATACATTTAGCATAATATATATTTAGTCTATATGTATTTATTTCTAGCTAAACACCTAACTAAAAATTATTTGTCATTTATATGAAATTCAGAAGTTCTTGCTTCAGGTCCGGGCCCCTTGCCTAAAGCCGGCCGGTGCCCAAGGTCCCTTCACCTAGATGTTGAGACTCTTTACCTAAAACCTTCCAATTTAGACAAGCGAAGTGACCCGCTTCAGCAGCTCTTGGGGTCCTAGGGCTCAGTCCTCGTACCCACTGTCTCAGGAAAAGAGTGGGATTCCCTAGAAAGAGCTGTGCTGAGGGGCTGGGGGTGGGAGAGTCAGACGTAGCCCCGCCCATTCGAGGGTGCGGGGGTGGGGTGGGGGGGCAGGAAGCAGTGCCCCCGGGGAGGTGACAGGGAGAGGAGGCAGGACCTACCCATGTTCCAGGTGCCGATGAAGATGGTGATCATGTCCGGCTCCGGCTGCTCTGAGTGCTTGTTTTTCATCTGCTGCAGGAGCTGGCAGAAGCCTTCTCTCTTCTGGGGATTGAAGGGCAGACACACTCAGAAAGGCCTCTGCCTCCCTGCGCGTTACACTCTCAAAGGGCTTGGTCAGCTTCGAGAAAACTGAGAGGGACGCAAGTCGGTACCAACTTCCGGGAGAGTGAGCGGGAAATATGTGTCCGAAGTCTAAGAAATGGCTTCGCTGTGACCAGCCGCCCCACTGCAAGGAACTGACTCTAGCAAAATAGTCAGGAACTGAACAAAGACCCAGCCATATCATGAGACCTGCAGCATGCATTTCGGTACGGAAAAAATTAGAGGCGACCTTGATGTCCACTCAGGAAATGAATTAATACTTGCACTATGGGTCATCCTCATGCTAGAATACCATACGGTTTAAAAACCGTGGTGCAGAAATACCTTATCGATAAGAACAGATGGTCTAAATCTATTGCCAAGTATCAAAAGCCAATTGACGAAACAGCATGAATAGCATCACTGCATTTTTATTAAAAAAAAAAAAAAAAATCCTGAAATACATCGTTCAAGGTTTACTAGTGGTATATGGGTGTTTCTGTTTTAAACTTTTCGCTTATTTGTAACTTTTTCACCATTGAGAAAAGATCACTTGTGTAATGAAAGAAAATTTAAAGAAACGAATTGAAAAGAACACACAGAGGCTGTCCCAGCCTCCTAAACAGCCCTTCCTTATTTAGTCGTCTGGCGTACACGCTGGGTGCAGAGCAGACACAGCCTCTCGTAGCTTACGGTCAAATAGGCAGGCTGGCGAAACACACGTACACAACAATTCTAGGTGGTACTGTGTGATATGACCAATATTTACTATTTCCGACCTACGATGATGGCAATTTCATGCGATTCGACCCAACCGCCAATCTGATGGCTGTGCTTATGGAAATCTGCCTTTAGTAAGGGATGGCTCAAAATTCGGTGCCTCAGTTTACCGCCGTGCCTCAATCTTGAGCTCGTAGCAATGGGCAGCACTGGAGTTTGAACTGACGCCCCTGTGCCCAGAACGACGCCCAGCCAGGCATTCTCTCTCTCCGCCTTCCATCGCCTGTCTGGCCCCCACTTCAAGTTTTTCCCAGCCTCCTCTCTCATTCCTCCCAGTCCTTCCTGGCCCTCCCCCTGGCCTCCTACCAGCCCACCCTGCCACTTCGCCCACGGGGCACTTGGTGGGGGCTGTCCCTGTGACAGCCTTGTCACGGCGCTGACCTGATGTGGTGTGAGCCCTTTGTGCCTGCCTCAGACGCCCTGTCTACGGAAGGATAAACAGCAGGGCTGAGACTGTGGGCGATGAGATCAATCCACAGAGAACCCCACCTCTGGCGGCACAGAGGCCCACCGCGACACCCCCAGACGCCTCGTATTTCCATTCGCTCACACCACGCTTACTCCAGAAGCCAGTCCTAGCAGGGCACCTCATTTCTGCAGAGTGGGCAAAGTGCAGACATGGAGGGAACGCTCGCTGGGACTCAGGTTTAAGTCTGGGGTGCCCCGGAGTGCTTCCAAGTGCAGCCCAGAGAAGCTCAATTCCTCCCAGTGGGGCTGGGGACTGGGTAGACACGGCGATAAGGGACGCACCCTCTCAGGCAGGCAACATGACAGAGGGGAAGATAGGGTTGCGACTCCTCAGATTCCAACTGGTCTGGAACGTGTCGCCTCACCTTTCTGGACTCAGCTTTCCCAGGCAGGAAATGGGTTGTGAGAACTGAGTGAGCTAATGGTGCGGACTTCCAGGCACAAAGCCAGCCTCGGAAACCAGGCGTCTCTCAGGCGTCCGTCATTCCCCTCCTGCCCATCTCAGTCTGTTGTCACTTACTTTGGAGTCAGCAAAAACATATTCCTTTCTCAGGGTCTTCTCCTTCTCTGTTTCCACCAAAATCACCAGCTTGTTCAGAAACTTCTGAGACTTGATGAGCTGTAGGACTTAAGAGGAATGGAAGTTCATTTATTCATTCGTCAGCTTGTCACCCACTATGTACAGTCTCCAATATTTCTGGCATCTGACCATCGACAATGCTGACTTTCCCGTCCCCAGGCTGAACACCGAATTTGTGCTGGATCTCCCAGATCCCTCTGCTCCTGGCTGCTCTTTTGAGGTGGGGCTCACATCTGGGGAGGTGCCTGGAACAAGCAAGAGGCGGCCTGGCCAGAGCAGAAGCAAGAATGTCCAACATTTCATCTTTTTCTCTCTACCTCCTCCACCTACTTCTGTCCTTCTTCTCCCTCCCTTACTCCCTCCCTCCCTCCTTCCTTCCTTCTTTTGCTTTACTTTCATTTTATATCTAAATTAAGATTTCTTTACTTCTATCAATGATTAAAAGACTCAAATTGTTCTACAAGATTTGCACACACAATAGTAGCCCCCAACCCCACCTCCCTCCAACGTCCCAGAGGCAGCCACTTTCAACTCTCGTGATGGATTCTTTTGGAATCTTACTGCACCTCTAAACAACATGCTTCTATGCTACCTCCTGGTGTTCCAGTGTTAGATATTTCAATATTTTCTATTACACACTGACTTTCCACTATGGAAGATGAAGGTTTGGCTCTCGTTCACACATGCGGCCTGTCTCCCCTCTCGCCCTTCCCCTGTCCCCACCAGGGCGTAATGTTGGTTCTTCCCCGTCATCCTTCCAATAATTGTATCACCCTTTTGGCCAGGTCAGCAGTATTTTTTAAGTGATGAGTATGGAAGTGCTATTGAGAGACAAACCCTGACAACTCTTTGTTTTTCCTGGAGTTAAGAATCGCCACGGGTTTTCGTTGGTCCTGACTCAGTTTGTAACTCTGTTTCCCATGGGATCGAGCCCTTTCGTCGGCTTTGTCTCCCACAGCCTCTGGGCCTTGTCTTCTCTGCACCGGTGACCTCTAGGCCTGACGTGTAGCCATTCCCTTAGGATCGTCCTTCTCCAGCATCCGGGACCCCATTCACCTCCGTCTCTCTTGTATCGGACGCCATTTTGGGGGATCTCATGTCTTCCTCTTTCTCGGTTTACGCTCTCGGTTTGGTAAAGCAACATCTCTAGTAGCTTTTCAAGAAAAGGAAAACAGGCAATACATGTTTGGAGGCCTGGCGTGTTTGAAAACTCTACGCTCACACTTCACCAGCAGGACTCTACGTCTGGAATCATTTTCCTCAAACTCTGCAGAACTCGCTCTATCGGTGGCTGCTGAGAAGTTCAACGTTGCTCTGACGGGCTTGCGTGCAGAAGAGCGCCTAGAAAAGCCTGCTTGCGAGGTGGCCCTCCGCCGGCATCGGGGACCTTAGATTCCGGGAGGGTCCCCAACATTCGCTGAGCTGATGACAGCAGCCGCCTGTGCCTGAACTGTGCATACAGTGTGGTTTCTGCGGGACTCTGCTTTCCTCCTGGGACTCTGGAATTTGGGTACATGCCAGAAGGGGGTGCCAATGTGGCCAGCCCCCAGGAAAAACCACAGGCTGAGTCTCTCATTTGTGTACCTGGTAGACGACACTTTACACGTGTTGTCACGCCTCATTGGGGGAGGACTCACGGAAGCTTGTGCCTAGTGTCCCCTGGATTTCACCCCCATACCCGTTCCCTTTGCTGATTTTGGTGGCTGTCCTTTCACTGGGATAAGTCACAGCTGTGTGACTATGCTGAGCCCTGTGAGTCCTCCTGGTGAGTCACTGGACCTGGGGGTGGTCGTGGGGACCCTTGCCTAACACAGTCCGTAATTCTGTCTTTTGCTTTGAGGTTCATAGGGTCTTTTCTTTGAATCCAGAGCTGTAAGACTTCCCAGCATTGGGTAGATCGACTTCCTCCACTGTGATGAGCACACGACCGGCCATTTTCAACCTGGAAACAGGCGTCGTTCAGTCCACAGGGTTTTTCTTGAATTGTTTTTTTAGTAAATTTTCTCACCCTGTTTCCGTTTTCTCTTATGGACACTTGTTATGTTGGTATTTGACCCCCTGATGGTCTTTTAATTTTTTAAAATCTCTCCTATTTCCCCTTCGCTTTGTCCATTTGTTCTACCTTCTGGGAACTTTCCCCACCTTTATCCTTCCATCCTTCCATTGATTTTGTTTTTAAAATTTCTGCTATGTTTCCATTTCCCCTTTCCTTTTTCCTTCTTCCCCCTTCCTCCTTCCTCCCTACCCCTCCTTCTTCATTTTGATTTTGTTCTCGGAATGTTCCTTTTAAAATCGCATTCTGTTCTTGTTTCACGGTCCTACTTCTTTTCATCTTCATCATTTGTTTCTTCCAATTTTTCCGTCTTTCTGTTTCTTATTGTCCTGAGTCTCCGTGTCTCCTAGTGCAGGCTTCCCTCCAGGGTCTGGTGGTCCCTGGCTGTCTGTGTTCCAACAGTGAGAGAGGGGGCCTAGTGAGCAGGGCTTCTCCCCAGGTGGCCTCATGGGCTGATTCATGGGGAAAACACTTGATGGCAGTGTCTTTAGATTTTTGCCCCTGTGCTGGTCATATGCTCCAGAGAAGAATCTTCCAGCTTCCTTCCTCCAGGGTGTGGGCCTGGCTGGCAGCATCCCTCGTCAGGCAGGGAGGAGGGCTACATTCAGAAAGTGACTGCTATTTAGTCCTCTGTTTCCAGCAGCTTCCTCTGCCCTCACCAGTTCTTTATCTTTCCTGGAGAATAAATATTCAGTCTTCTGCCTAATGGTGAGGGGAATCCACTGCCTATGTGGAGTGGAAAAGAATCTGGCACGTCTATCTCTTTTTAAACAGATTTTCATCCACTTCTGCTGTTTATAACCCTACCTTCGCCCCCACTTCTAAGGGCCCCTGATGTTATCGATCCCTGCATCCTTTGTGGGTTCTGTGGTATGAGTCAGGTGTCTCAGTTTTTCCTACTGCTTGTTTAAAATTTAGCTTCTTTAGGTTCCTCTAAGTCGGTTATCATTCTCCATCTGCTTTTCAGCATTCAGAATTTTGTTGCCATCATTTTTTTTCCTCTTGTTCTCTTTGATCCTGTGAGTTCTGTCCTTAGGAAGGGAACTGATGATAATGTGTGTGTTCAGCTGCCGTCTTGACTGGAAGTTTCACCCAAGGCACACTGTAGATGTCCTGTGAGCTCAGAAATCTCATCTGCCTGTCAGCAGAAGTAAATGTTCCATAGGATGGTTCCTACTGTTGCCAACTGGGATATCCCAAGACTTTTCCAAATCTGCTACTATTGGCCACGTCTCCCTCCCTCTGAATTCCTGGTTTTCCTTGACATCCATTTGCAGGACTGTGTGACTGACACCTGGGTGTGATATCTTGCTCGATCGGGATCAGTGTTCTACCAGGGCCAGTAAATGGTCCATCTGTCTCCACGTTTAGTAAAATAAAACTAGAAGCTCTTTTTGGTTCCTTTTTCCCTCGGCACCTCCCTCTCATCCTTCAGCAGATGTGAGCAGTTCTACCTCCCAAACATTCCCAGTCTGTCTTTCCTCATCTCAAGCCACCCCCATCTCTTGCCTGGCTGCTGCCATGGCTTCCGAATCGGTCCCCCTATCTCCACGTGCCCCTCCCCCCATAATTTATTCTCAGCAGGCAGCCACGGTTCATTTTAAAGTGGGATCACACCACGCCCCTGCTTGAAACCTCCTAAGGGTGGCTCAGATCACCCAGCCCCCATGATGGGGGCCCAATCTCTGCGCCATCTATGCTGGAGCCACTTGGCCTTCTCACACGCCAAGCTTGGT